TTTTCTTGTCTTTTAGTTTTGAAAAGTTTAAAATTTTTAAAATTGTCCCAAGCCTGGAAGAATATTGATAAACTTAATTCATTAAAAAAACTTAAAACCCTTTTCTAATGTTTTAGTCCAATTTCGAAAAACGGAAAAAAATACCATAAACGAAAACAGCCCCTTATACCCCCCCCCCCCCCCCCCCCCCACTTTAAAGTCGCCCTCCAGTTATATGTCCCTCTACCTGTAAACAAAAAATACATCTGATTATAAGCCCCCTTCTAGCTTTTGAAGGCCATTTGCATTATGGCATCTTTTAACTACAGTGAAACCTGTATTAAGCGGACACCCTCGGGGAATGCTGTAGTGTCCGCTTAATACAGGGTGTCCGCCTAATACAGGTCTCGATAGATAATGTCATATGAGGTGTCAAATGCCATTCAAATAAACAGTCGAAACGTTTAGAATATTCCCAGAGACTATGACGATATACGTTTGCATTAATTTCTTTACTAAAGAGGACCAATTGATCATAGTACCAGAAACATATATTACAACTCAAATTTGAAGAAATCAGATGAGTGAAACAAGCTCTGTAGAAACAAAACGAAATACTGAAACGAAAACTGTACTGTGAAGCTAATCAAATAAGTTCGTCGAATCACCCTTTTTAACGTAAAAATCGAAAAATTTGTGTGTGGCAATCTTTCGCATTTCCGGCGTCTGGGTTGTTGGGTGGTGGAATTTAATTACAAGTGTCCGTTTCATACAGGTGGTCGACAATAGAAATGACCATTTCAGGTACTTTTAAGGTGTCCGCGTCCGCTTAATAAAGGTTTTATGTAAAGTAAATAGGGGAAATAAAGTTGGGGACTTCGGCTACTGTCCGCTTAATAGAGGATGTCCGCTTGATACGGTGTCCGCTTAATACAGGTTTCATTGTACTACGACCAGAATCCTTTTCGTTTTTCCTTTCATATCTAAATTTGGTAATCCCAGCAAGGTTTTAATAACAAAAGCCTGAAGGATTCTGGTCGTAGTAGTAAAATGACGTCATCGTGCAAATGGCTTATTGAAAAGAAGACGATTTATTGTGAGGTTTTGAAGCTTAATTAAAAACCAGTAGAAGCAGAACGTATTTTGATCAGCCCTGCTATAGCTCATTTCGATTATAAGGCCCTCCGTCCGTTTTTAAGCCCTCTATAAACCCCTCACAAAGATTTGTAAGTCCAGGGCTTATAAGCAGCTGCAGTTTACGGTATCTTGATTTGAGCCGGGCAGGCCATCTAGAATAAGCAATTTTACAGATCTCTTAGAAATGTTACGTGGAATTATTAGTTGGGTTTTCAGTTTTTCGTTGTGCTTGTCCTTATATTTGAGTCTAGGCTGGCCATTTTCATGGTAAAACAGGTGGGTTTTTTTATCCTTGTACGTGTTTCTGCGTCGCTCGTAAAAACCAGAGGTTACTTAACAAACCTTCCTTTTTAGAAGAGAGCTAATATTAGAGAGTTTTAGATCCGAGTTTACCGCGAACCTCTAACCACGGTTTGCGGTTTGACGTTCAAACATGATTCGATTTAGATTGGCCGTGGATTAAAGAAGTGGATTCTGGTTTATTTTTCCATTTAGAAATAGAAGAAAAATCAATCAGTGAAAATAAAAGAAATTTACGAGAACACAAGCAAAGAGCTGTAAATTCTTACATTAGTTCTTCTTGCAATTTTACGGCCGCCATTTTGAATTAGCAGCCATGAATGGCACTTGTTTTCAAGATCCAATAGGATTTATCAAATTTAGCATTTCGCCCGAATTTGTGCCTCTGTTAATGGATAAAGACTTGCTCCACAAGTTTTTTGCATCATTACGTGGGATAAAACAAGAATTATGCGCTAAAAGCTTTCAGGTAAATGAGATGACGTGAAAACCTATCTCCCCACGTTGAAAACGCACGTTGTAAACCTCAAACGTGACGCGAAAGACTGGTCACGTGACCTCCAGCGGTCACAGGCTCGCGGTAAACTCGGATCTAAAACTCTCTGTTTTGCTCATTGTACTCACAGCAAGAGTTGTCGGAAATGGAGGAATCCCTGGAAGGTTTGAGGAAAGAACTGGAGGCAGTCGAGAAGGAAGAAAACAAGCTGCGAGCTCAGGAAGTGGATATCAAACACGAAGTAGAAAAATATGAGACTGTATTGAAAGAAAATCAACAGAAGGTCAAGCACTGGCAGAAAGAGGTATGCAATGCAGCCTGTGAGCAAGCTCTTCATTTGGGGGAGTTGCGAGTAGTCACGCGAGAGCGAGGAAAGAAACCTCCACCCCTCGTGGCATCGCCGCTCGCTTCGCTCGCCAAAAATGGAGACCTTGCTCGCAGACTATACAATGAAGGATCGAATCCTTATTTTTTGTAAACAACGAAAGACGTTGGTAAGAGACGTTTGGTTATGGAAGCTACTAACCATCAAAGATGAAAACAACGGTACTGCAGATTATGTTTATGTTTTATCATTATTATTGATCATTACAAAAAAAAAATTGAACTCAGTAAACTTTTTGAACGAGGCAAATTGAATAATACAAAGTTAACTTAAAATTTACTGTTTTGTTTTTACATAACCAATGAATGAAACTTTAAATCTAAGTACATTTTCTCAACTAGTTTAAAAGAAAACTTGTTGCTCATTAACTTAAAACTGATAGAAATGCTATTGAACGTCAAGTCAAGGGTAAAACAAAAGATACAGTAGAATATCTCGAACACTAGGTTTTTTCGAAAATGCCGATTATAGGCCATTTTCACGATGACGACATTTGACTTCAAACAACTACCAGAATCTATTTCGTTTGGCTTTCTTATTCAAATTTGTCAATCCCGCTCGGGCTTAAAAAAACAATAGGCCTAATTTGCACAAGAAAACACAAACTGAAGGATTCTGGTAGTTGTAGTAAAAGTCCATTATCGTGTAATTGTCCTATTCGAACCAAACCCATCTCCTCTTTTGCCAGTCAAACACTGTAATTTTACCCCCGATTTCTCACACCTCCTGATAAATTCCAACCAATTTGCTGTTCCCTAGGTGTTTCGTGTTTTCGGGATTCCACTGTACAAGACAAAAAATATATTTGGGACTATTGCCGGTCGTGTTGACCAGTGACCTATTGACCGACCAAACAAGTCTTAGCTCGAACTCGTCTCTCTTCTGACCTGTAAGAATATAAAAAATAGCACGATAATACCTTGAACTTACAAGCCTAGTAACAAGCAAAAAATATAAGATGAAAAAATATTACTGTCCTCTAGAAACGTAATAGTGTGAAAATGCATTTTTTTTTTCTGGTCGCTTTTTTACGTGTCCTGTCAAAATGCCCGGTAAAGCGAAAGTTTGTCCAGACAAATAGACATCTTTGTCGGACAATGTCTGTTGACCGGCCTTTATTTTGAAAGCCTTGACTGTATAACAGTAAAATGTTTATCACCCAGCCCACCACCGTAGGACTATCAAACTGTCTACCCTCATAGCTGCATATAGTTGATTAATTGTTATCGATGTATTTGTGTCTTTAGCTGAGTAAGCTGTCGCTGCAGCCTGTAAGTGCCTCAGCTGATGCTGAACCAGAAGAGAGTCTTCCAACTCTGACGCGAGAGGAACTGGAAGGGGTTGATAAAGAAACTGTCATGGTAAGCAGCAGGATTTTTAGTTTGAAAGTTACTGCATACAACAATGACGATATAATAGGATGGTTCGTACAATCTTGAAAAGGTCTTGAGTTTTAGTAGTTGTCTTGAAAAGTCCTTGAATTCGGTTAAGGTCCTTGAAAGGTACTTGATTTCTTTATTAGGTGCTGAAAAATCCTTGAAATTCACTACCTTGTCTAAAAACATGTATGTGCATCAGCAATATCTTACTTCTGTTTTTTATTTTATATTAAATGCTATTTCTGTACCTCGGATACAATTGCAAGTCATACCCAGTCATTTGTACCAAAAAATGTGTTGCACGTGCAGAGTTGATATTTTGCTCATTAAACCTATTGCTTTTTTGCTTTTCGTTTTTATACTTCTAAATTATTATTATACAATGATGTGAATGCTACGCGCGCTTTGATTGGTCGTTGCCCATGATCTATTAGAGTACAGATACATGGATGACGTCACGGGAAACTTGTTTTCTTTGTTTTGTTCAACATGGCACGCGGTTTTGAAAATGTTTGTGAGATTATTTCGGATTGAGGCAAGTGAAAGCTTCGGAAAAAGTTTAGCAGGAGCTAATAGGGAACTTTAGAACCACGACAAAGTTCACGACGACGACGTCTGTTGACTGGGAAAGGAATGGAACGAGAACGTCAGTTTCGACGGGAAAAAGGAAACTTAAGATGCAGTCGACCGGTAGGTCGACGACGACGACACTGAATGTAAACAAACATGTAGACTGTGATGTTCGTTCGCAACAAAGTTTTTTCGCAAAGGCGTCTTTTAAGACGATGCAAGATCTTATAAAATATACCGTACGTCTACTTTCATTGACGATGAAGAATTTTTCGTGTTGTCCGACCTTTTCGAATGGAAAAATCTCTGCTTTCCGTACGAAGGTTATTCAACTTTCAACCTGAATGACATGACCGAGTCCGAGTGTCTGTCAGAGTTTAGATTTGGAAAAAGAGACATTCCGATGCTATGGCTGTTTTCCATATGAAGTTCATTTCCTCTATATTAAAGATATATGATTTGCCTGNGATCTTAAACTCCCTAAATTGTACAAACGACCGGTTTCAATAGACCGGCGAAATTTCTCATTTTATTAAAGCACTGAGGTTACGACAACTTCGAGTTAAACTGATTTCACGGGTTGTCAAAGAGTCCAGCGATTCCTTTTTCCCAGGTGAGCGCCGACTCATTTCGCTTCAATATTCAGGAATGCTCTCGATCTTTTTACGCTTTCATTGCCTCTCGCCCGACATGTTTTGCACGGCGTTTGGTCATGCGAAACCTCCACGAAACCTCCACGCCTCGCGCGAGGTAACTTTATCCCGATTCTAAAAATTAATTGGAGACGAATTACCTATGGAATAGGGTGTAAATGGGGGATGCCCTCTCTGTCCCCTTTATAGTCTCTTGTCATTATATAAAACAAATAGATTCCATGTTGTCGTGGGTCTGTTCAGTAATAGATCACAGAGGACGTCAAAATGTGGTAAAAACAACAGTGACACACTCGCCTGCGGCTCGTGTGCCAATTCTTTGTTTTTGCGACATTTTGACGTCATCTGTGATCTATTACTGAACAGACGCACGGCAACATGGAATCTATTTGTTAATTATAAGGGGAATTAGTAATTTTCAATCAAAAAGCATGCCGTTAATTTTTGAATTAAGGAAACCTGCTAAACTGAAGACGCATCCTTCTCATTCGTCTTCTGGCCCGGATTCTAGAGGCCTGTCTGTAATTTTGTTGATGCATTTTTTTCAGTATGAAATTACTGTTTTGGAGGAAAAATTGCAGCAGATGAAACCAAACATGGCAGCTATTGCTGAATATCGTAAAAAGGTAATGTATAGCAAACGTCTCCTCCTCATTTTCGCCATGTCAAGAGCGTGGGGTGTGAACCTTCAAGTGTAAAATCATGTGAAATAATATCTTTAATAAACCTTGCTGCTAGGTTGATTATTCACTATAATCAGTACATGGCATTATATCACACTTACTGACTTTGTAAACTAAGGTTTACGGTCTCCTTCCCTCCCATCGCCACGCTTTGTTTGTGGTCACATTATGCGGAAGTTTGTGTAACCTTTTCTATGATATGTACTCTGCAGGAAGAAGCTTACCTGGCTCGAGTCAAGGAGCTTGATGACGTCACCAACGATCGTGATCAGAAAAGAAAAGAGCATGAAGCCATGCGCAAACAGCGCCTTGATGAGTTCATGACAGGGTTTTCCGTGATCACCACTAAACTCAAGGAAATGTACCAGGTGCTTAATTACTTCCCTAGCCATGAGTAATAATAATAATAATAACAATAATATACACTTACCGTATATCGCGCCTTTCTCTTAGTGATCCAAAGCGCTTTACAATCAGTAGATATTTAGAAAACAAATAATTCAAATGCAGCATAACAGGATTAAAAACCCCAACTGGTAGGAGGCCACCAGTTGGCTATTTACAAGCGTGGCCGAGGATTTGAACTCGCGATGACCGAGGACAAATCCAGCAAGTGACCAGAGCGGGACTTGAACCCGGGACTACCGGATTGCGAGTCCGACGCGCTAACCACTCGGCCACGCTGCCTCCTGTAACAACTCCTTACAACAACTTTTTTCTTTCCCCATTGTAGATGATTACTCTTGGCGGTGACGCTGAGCTGGAGCTGGTTGACAGTCTTGATCCTTTCTCTGAAGGAATTGTTTTCAGGTTAGTAGCACAATACAACAAAGGAATTTTAAAATCACGTAAACGGCAAACGATAATTTGTACCACGTGATCCAAAAAATACCATAATAGTTTGTTGTGCCCCCAAAATTTTACATAAGTATTGTTTTCAATTTCTCTTGGGGCGATTGTAAGTCCTATACTATTGTCATTTTGTGTTCATTATACAGTCGAAACCCCGCTTTACGGACACGCTAAATATGGACATTTTTTTTTTGTCACTGGGGAAAAGCCTTTAATTTTCTCTCAATTCGACCCGCCTTACGGACACATGTTAGTGCGGACCACACACTTGTTTCTTGCCCAATCAACAGATTCTCATAGAACGTTTACTTCTGGTCTTCTACTCGGATTTTAAAGCAGAAATCTCGTAAAAATGCGCAGGATACCACCCTGTGCAAGTTCACGAGATTTCTACGCAAAAATGGAGTACAACGTCCCCACTATACTACTTTAATGGACACATTTTATTGTCAACTGTGTGTTGTAGTAAACCTTGCCTTTTTGACGGTAAAAAAAATCTTCAGCGGACAGCATGTTGACTTTTCCAGCGTTTTTTCGAGCTAAATGGTATTTGGGTTTTTTTGAAATTTTAATCGGGGGCTTTCTTGGAAGAGAAAAGCTTAAAACAAGCATCTTTAAATTAGGAACCTTAAGATCTGAGGACGCGACGGCAGCCAAAACGCCGCTTAAAAGTAAATTTGCGTTCTTTCGTCTCAGTTGTGATTAGTCCTACCGTGTGAAATTGTCAAATGTAGGAAAACCGTCCGAAGAACCATATCCGAGTTAAAGAGAAATAAAATTTCGTCGTCGTTAGTTCACATATTCCATGAAACGAAAAATTAGGTAATTTCACGTCGTAGTCAATAACCGAGTCATGCAAAAACGGCAAAGAAATGTTTAAAACAAGTGTGGTGCACGTGCAAAGGTGTTGTTTTGCCAACTAAACCTATTGGTTTTTAGACGTTGGCGTCGCGTCGTCGGATCTTAAAGTCCCTATAAAATCATCGTGAAGACTGTATGGTGTATTGTCTTTGGACACTTAATTAATTTCATTTTATGATTGCCACTGTTTCAATTCTCAGTGTGAGGCCACCAAAGAAGAGCTGGAAAAATATTTCAAATTTATCAGGTGGAGAGAAGACACTGAGTTCTCTAGCTTTGGTAGGTTTACGATTTGCTTTCATGGGCCCTTTGCACAAAACGGTCACATGGTACAAAAACACCTCGCTGGAGGGCAAACAACGCTGTGGGATCTTGAAACGAATTAGGATGTTGGGTTTTTTTTGAATGATGCATTCTCGTCACTTTTCTGCCCCACTGCTAGACTTTCTATAAGTCTTTAATTTTTTTTCCTGTTTGGTTATGCCATTTTGAAGGACTTCATAATTCACCGGTCGAAAATTCTACCGGTGACGTCAGGACAATTGACCAATAGGACAGTAAAAGATATTTCACGCTGCTCCCGACACAGCATATGTCAATCATTTTTTCCCGCATGAATTTATTATGATTCAAATCCATTCATGCGAAACAAGTCGACCTCGAGATTTCGTCGGTCCCTGCGCGACCTCATGCTTTGAAGCTCGCTTCGATTACTTCTAAGAACTTGTGAGAGGTCGACTTGTAGTAAGTCTCCCCCACTGTGTCGTTTGCCATCCAGCGAGATGTTTTTGTTCCATGTGAGTCCCTAGCATGGCCGAATAAGGTGTCCAATTCTTTGGCTTGATAGTATGTTGTTTGCTTTCGATATAATGCACGTTGCACTTTTTGGAAGTTACATTTTTGCCCGCTTGTTTAGGTATTTGCTCTTCATCACTACAAGCCCACACCTTTGTACGTGATGGATGAAATCGATGCTGCCCTGGACTTCAGAAATGTGTCAATTGTGGCCAACTACATTAAGGTCAGCAACAGTGTTTACTGTTAATGTAGACCCCTGGTACTGATCAAATGAAAATCACACCGAAAACTCTAAATATCTTTTTGTAAATCCTAAGAGTCAAATAGACTTTCCTGATTCCTGGTTTTATGCAAACCCCACTTTGTGGGCCTTAAATTGGTCGCTCGGTTAGATCAAGCGGCGCTGTCTTATTTTTTCGTTTTCTTTTCTTTTTTTCCGCCAATTTTCTTTCTTTTTTTCTTTCCTAATTCCGTCTATTTGTTTTCGTTAATATGTATACCGTTTGATCCGAAATACTTTGGCTGAATGTAGACCCAACCGAGAACGTTGTAAACAGATACTTACTTATTCAATTAAGCACCCAACTTCGAATTAGCGAACTTCGAATTAGCGCCCATCCTTTAGGGAGTAAAAGTTCGCCCGGCCTCAAATAAACGCCCACCAACACCCACCACCCTCCCCACCCCCCCCCCCTTTACGAGAAAACTGAAGAAGACAAGAAGAGTATTGGTTATTGTTTCTTTTACTACCCTATCTGCTCCTTGTCGACTGACCCATTCGTAGACGTCACACTGTAAGACATCTACGAGGCAGACGATGAGTTATAAATTGACTAGGTACTACTAAGAGACTTAGTAGACCGAACGAGTTCTTAGTCTTTTCAAAATAAACTTTCAATTGCCAGTTATAATTCTGCTCTGGCACATCTTCACGTTTTGTACTTATTGCTGTTTTGTTGGAAAATTTACTTACTACTTGCTGAAAATAATGAAAATTTAATAAGCGCCCACTTCCAAGGCCCAAAAATATAAGAAGCGGCTAGGATACCTAATCGAATAAATACGGTGAAAAAAGGGTGAAAGACGTACTTACCAGCTCTTTCGCTTTTTATGTTCTCTCTACAGGAAAGGACCAAAAATGCACAGTTCATCATCATCAGCTTACGGAACAACATGTTTGAATTAGCTGACCGACTCATTGGTATATTTAAAACGGATAATTGTACAAAGAGTGTGGCAATCAATCCACGAGCGATAGCATCCACTGCCTGATAAGCCAGATCGCGACCAGTTAGTATCTAGAGGGATTGTTGTATTATAAATAAAAATGTATTTTTACATCGTTATTGTGTAATTCTCTCTATTGTTGGGAATCGGCCGCGATTTCATAATGGATCATCGGAAACAATCGGATTGACCGGACCGACCCGATCGATTATCGATCATAATCGGAAAAATCTCTTTATAAGAATTCCATTTAGGACGCCTGTTGTACCGTGTTTTAAAACACGACAAAATCATATGAAATGTATCAGAAAAGGGACATCAACTTTTTCGTGGTTGCCACAGGTCAGGAAATGGTCAGGAGAAAAAATCTCCAAGGTCAGGGAATTTCACTTCGAGTAAGGGAACGTCTGAGTCTTTGAAAGAAGTCAGGGAAAAGTGGGATTTTGAGAGTACATATTTATTATTTTTCCCCCGCTTTTATTGTTTTCTAATTCTATCGTTAAATATTCTTTTGTACATTTCACGGACGTGAATAATATTGTAGAATGTTGTTCATAAAATTGAACGATGAGCTGACTGTACACTGCACGTGACTTCAGGTGAAAGCATAAAAAAATGGGTAGAGAGGATGGCTGTTAGGGGAGGATGGAGGCCATTATTGTGACAAAATTTGTGAAATTGTTAATTCATTTGGCCAAGGATATTTCATATTTGTCAGAAAAAATTCAGGGAATTTCAGAAACCTTTGACTGTGGCAACCATGTTTGTAGATTCGAACCTGCCGCCATGGAGATCCAGTAGATCAGTTGTTAGAACGTCCAATCTAGAACTAGGAGGGTTGTGAATTCGATTCATGCCTACTACCAGAGGCCTCGGTTGTTTACCATTTACAAAATGTTTCTGGAAAATCCGGTTTGAAAGTAAATGAAGCACGCCTTTTCGGGTCGTTTCGGTGGAAAATGTCCGGGAGCAACAACATCTGAACAGGTAGACCTGGGTCGCTTGCCATTAAAACAAAACTTTCTAAAATTTGCATAACAGCGGCAAATGCTACAGAAATTTTCCGGAAAAGTCTCCAGAAATTCCGAAAACTGTTGAATTGCGAAACATTCAACCAAAAATTCTTGAAATTCCGGGAAAAAGTTTCCATTCGATAGTGGAAGTTGCCGAAATATTTAATACAATTTACTCAAACTGTGGACCGACCGGTTTGCCATGTAAATGGTAAACAACCCTCTTTTCCTGGTATTCTGTGAGCGGGAGCCGAATACCAGGAAAAAGAGGCGGTGCATTAAATCATGTGAAACGCTATTTGAAGTGTTTGATATTTAATACTTTGATATAGCTCTCACTCACATAATCAGTGTTCTAATTTTCCAGTACAACTTGTCACCTAAATAATTGCAATAAATTATCGATGAACTTTAGACAGGACTGTCCCTGTGGCCGTTTTTGTTACCACTTCAGTGAAAACTGTTTTGTAAAGATGTTATTCGTGAAACTTGATAAGGTTCGGCGTTACTTTTCTAAACTGAGATTATATGTTTCACTAGATTTTTTCAAAGTTGTGCACACTGATTAAAGATACAAGATAATACTTTTCCACGAAGAAAGTTTGAAGCTTCTATATATTTTCTTTCCTTGTACTTTTTACTTTAATTTATTCAGCAGGAGCTGCTGGAAATAGGGCTATTTTTCCTTAAAGTCGCAAACTTATCATTACATTAGTTTTGTCAAGATTTAGGCCCCGTCCACACGTATCCGGAGATTTTTGTATCCGCAAATTTTTTTAATGCGGATACAAAAATATCTGCGTCCACACGTAGCGTATACGAATTGTATACGACCGTCCACACGTATCCGGACATCTCAAAGGATTAGTCAACAGAGCATGCGCATTAAAAAAAAAACTGGTTCTGATGCTGTGACGTCAGCGTATACAAAAATATACGGATACGAGCGTCCACACGTATCCGGATACACAGCGTATACAGAAATTTCCACTCTGGAGAGCGTATACAGAAATCTCCGGATACACCGAGCGTATACGGCGGACACGTGTGGACACTAGGTGTATCCGCATAAAAAAAATTGCGGATACAAAAATCTCCGGATACGTGTGGACGGGGCCTTACTCAGTCGGGAAATTTTCTTTTTAAATGCGTCCGCGTTAATTATCCATTGTCTAACTGAAAGTGCGGGGTTTTTTTACTGCATTAATTTGTTTTTTGGATCAATGTTAAAAGTTTTTCGAAGTCACTGCAACCAGGTGGTGAGAGTCAAAATGCTTCTTGTAGAACTTTATAGCGATAAAAGTTAGTTTTCTCAACTAGTAATTTTTATCACTAATTTGCCTCAACTTTCTTCGGTTTTATAGCGAATAAAGACCATTGTTTTCCAAGGAGTTTGAAGTCTACTCATTGACTCGCTTGTTTTGTCATCTCAGAGGAGTGCGTGCTTTTCTCAAAGCATTGTCAAGCCTTATGAACGCTTGAGCTTTATGTAATTTTTTTGATATCAGGGAATTCCCAAGCGTAATTACCGTTTTCGTCAAGAACTTGAAAGTGTCGGCAAACTTTAATTTTTCAATGTTACGTTGATTGCCTATTGTTGAACAAAGAGTGCATGCTTTTCGCACATGCCGTTTCGAGGAAAAACTTTCTCAAAAAAGTCTCATGCTGGACTGAATTTTAATCGAGCAACAGTATAAATGGAGACGACAATTTCAAGTTGATTAAACTGTTTTTTGCAAGAGATCTCCGTACCTTGCCTGGTACAGTGAAGACCAAACTCAGCCCGACGATTTCTGGCCCGGAATAATAGTCAAGATTCCGCCTCTTTGAAAATGCCAGGTTTGTTCTTGATTCAACTGTTACTTCTGGTCAAACTATCATTTGCATTTGTTAAGAGCCGCAATTTCTTTAAAGGTTTTCACTACTTATTTTTCGTTGGAGAAAGAAATGATTCCTTTAAACGCAACCTAACAGATTTTCTTTGCATGATTCTTTCCTGTGTGTGTGTTTTTTTTATCGCTCGAAAATACCCGTGGCGTTTCCTGCGTGGACGTTGAAAGGGACGGGCAAAACGTAATTTCTATTTGTTGGAGCCAATCTGGCCGTATTTTGGTTTTGTCTACAGCGGGAATTTTTCGGAGCAGTTACGGAAGTGTTTAGTTGTAATATACAGACTACACGTAAGTGTACATCAATTATTACGCTGACTCAGGCAACATGAATTACTTTATCAACTGCTTCCTTACCGTATCAATGCGATTAAAATATTTTTATGCTTTGCTGGCAATACGATGCTAATAAACGACTCTGGTAAAGACCAGGAAAATTTCTGAAATGCATTTGTGATGTAACTGAACCGACTTGCGAGTGTAGATCAACTGTTTGGTTTCACAGACTTTCAATTCTTTTGGGAATTACCATTGATTGCTTGAAGATTTATTTCTCGACTTCTCGTTACTGATTTAAAACGTTTTGGAAATTGCTTAGCTTGCACCTGAGTAAGAAATAGCACTCTGCTTCGGGACGGTTCATGCTGGCATAAAAGGCTAGACAGAGGGGCAGGAAAAGTAAAAAATCATAGAAAAGAGAACAAGTTGCACAAGGTGAAACTAATAAATAATTTAGTGCAAGGTGGTAGTGATTACAACGACAATAACATTTTCTATTTTTAACAGGTATGCCTGACTAACTTAAAGATGAAGAGCAGAACAATTTGCCATGCGAGAAAGCCATGAAAATAACAATAAAAATGTACTGCCACCGTCCTCAACAGGATAACAGAGCAGCCAACTCAGTTGTGTCTCTTGTGTGATTGATTATTTCCGTATATACCAAACCTGTGGTAAGTTCCTTTCTTGCATAACACAATCGGTTAGTCGGAATTAAGGCGTCTTTCCATTGTCTTAAACAGGTTATTATTTTAGTTCAATGAAAGAATTGGTCACAGGGAGGAACAGAGGGTCATTACGACAAATAATAACCTACTGTTCCACCTCAGTGGCCACCATAATGACCTGTTCATTCTAGAAGTATGGAAAGTGGTATGTGCACTCGGTTATTATTTCTAAGAGATCCTCGGAGATTAAACACAATCTCATTTTACTTTTCATGCTATCACTTTCAAATCAACAATATAAGGTTTTTTAAATCATTCTAAAATCACTGGTTTGGTATATACACCGTGAAAAGCTGTACTTTCCATTTAGTAATACATTTAGACATCTCATGTCATATTAGGCCTAAAAGAAGTTTGCACTTTTGCATTTAGTTTAAAACGTATACGTTGAACAGGTCAAAAAAACATTACGTGCAGCTAAATACATCAACGCAAACCATCTATCAAGAAAAACAACAGGAAAATGTATTTCATAAATCCAAAACCCTTCCCCTAAACTAAGTCTTCAGAAGAAAAAAGAAACATTCCTATCCTAGAGGACAAAAAAAGGTAGGAAAACAAAAGGTAAGTAAAAACAAGGTAAGTTTACTTCTACTGAGCCCTGGGGACTAAGTGCTCCGCCCAGAGGGGGGAGAGCCCTGGGGACTAAGTGCTCCGCCCAGAGGGGGGAGAGCCCTGGGGACTAAGTGCTCCGCCCAGAGGGGGGAGAGCCCTGGGGACTA